GGCCTCTGTCCCCAGTGCAGCTCCAAGCACCTGCTACCCAGGAGCTGCAGGACTAAGGCCACCAATGCTTTGCAGAATTTGAAACTTCAAATGAAAGCCATGTAATCTCTTAAAACAACTAGAGTAAGTAGAGCACATAAATAACTCTCCTGCCCTGAAGGGAGTAGGACAATGCATGTGGGACTTGACACCTTCCTGTTACCATGAAGTGAACAGCAGCACTTATCTGACCATCAGCTGGTGAACTCGCTGAGGTTAATGCCAGGAATAAGGAAAATCTCACTTCTTTACATTTATGCCAATGTTAAGTATAAACCAGTGACAGCTTTACCACAGAATAGTGCCAGTGCATGCAGTCACATCTAAAGTCTCCTGTGCAAGAGCCCAATGATACCTAGAAATGTGAGTGTAGAGATCTAGACATGGGGAGCAGGGAAAGCCATTTCAGACTCACATGATGCCCTGCACAAGCCAGGCCTGTCTCTATGCTTCTCTTTGCTTCACAGATGCACGCCTGTTTTCCAAGCCTTACTGTATCACACACTTGCACACACCTTTGTTTTTGAGATTAAATGTTTATAGTTACTGCTGTTCATATTGTTTGGGGTCTATTGAAACTGTTGTCTTTGGCCAAAAATGTACCCTTTACAGTGAGAAGGACATTTGGGAAAATTCTGAGACTTTTCCCATCTAAAGATTCCCATTAAGGAGGGCAGAAACCTGGCTTCTTGCTGACATGAGGGAGGGGAAAGGGTCCCAAACACAGCCCGTGAAGAATATCATCACTGACCTGGCGAGCCATGCCTTCTGGAAAGGCAATAAAGATACTCAGTTTGGAAATAGTCACACAAATTTCTTCAAGGTACCTAGGATTTGGAAGTGTAGAATTAGGGGAAGGTATTGCAGAGAATTCCTTACCCCTTGGAAGTACATGGTAATATTATTTTTTTTTTTTTGGTAAAATAAGAATTAGCAATTAGTAACAACAGGTGGGCTCTATAATCAGAGACAGTGCATTATTCTCACATCAATGATCCCCGGAGACACAAACTTAGTTATTTCTGATGTATATGCAGGTGTTTGTCTAATGAAAAGCTGCTATAACCTTACTACATTTTCTAATTTGGGCAACAGTTGGCAACTAAGCTTGGCAGACAGTTCTGGAAATCCTCTTAGGCAACTTTAGAGCCAAGCCCTAAGAACTACATGGCAGGTCCTGAGCTGAGTGTTGTCTCCCCACATAGGGTGTTTCCTTGAATTGATACGAAAAATGACAAATGCCCAGCAGTGGTCAGCCTGACATACAGCTCACCACTGCTTTGGCATCCAGAAGTAAGAAACACATAAAGTCACAGGAAGTGCAATCTCCTGAAAGCTGGAAATCAGTCTGTGGAGAAATGGAACTGCCAACAAGAAGGCAGAAGCACCTGGAACTCTGACTTCTCCTTCCACAAAATTCTTTAATGGCTTCTCAAACTTTTGAATCTATTACTTAGTCTGAGTTCCACCACCTGGTTCTAGGTACAGCCTTTCGGGGAGGCAGGGGAAGAAGGAAAGCTGTAGTCTATCCGGAGCAGGAAGGCTGAATGCCTCAGATTCTAATGCCAGTCTGTGCCCTGCCTAGGAGGGTGGAGTCATGTCGAGTGTGCATGCGGAGAGTGTGTACACACATGCACACTTGCAGCCACAGGTGTCCAAGCCCACAAAAGAAAAGGTCATCGTTGGACTCTTCATGGCTGTCAACAGCACGAAGCACTTTTGTTTGTGATTGTGGTAAACAACTTTTATATTTACAACTCATGAGCCTGTTACTCTGGTGATCAGCCCGTCAGTTGTTCATCAGAGGTACTCCTTGCAAACTACTGCATTATTAGTGCCACTTAAAGGAGATATTCCCAAGGTGGCATTTCTTGCCAGAGTTATTCAGATGTTCTGCTGACATACAGCTAGCTATTTTCTGCATTTGGACACTGAACAAAATATTTCTCCTCTAAAGATGATATAAAAACTATAGTTAGTGCTGGTTTTGTATAAATCATGTGGCTAATCTGGCATTATTGATTCTAAATTTTGCACTGTGTTGAAAACGTGTCTGGCAAGTAGTTTTTAAAAATCACTTAATGCTTCGACTTGTTCTTGTCCAAGAATGTGCAGGGCCTGTTTATGTAGCCCTCTCCTCTCCAGCCTTCTCCTCCTTCCTCCTGTTTTGTCCCAAGTCATTATGCTTCAGGGACATGAGCATCTTCCCTCAGTGCACACATACCTGCAATCTACCCAGACACAGTCTTCTTTGAACACTTAGATGGGGAAATGGCACAAGGCCCATTCCACTTTTTCTGGGCTGCCATCGACCTGCTCCCACCCCTGCACCTGATGATGGAGTGAGCAACTGAAGCTGCAGCTCCCCTGGGGATCTCTTCCTGCCAGTCCCAACAGCAACGGTGGTTATAGTCTGAATTTAAGGACTTGTCCACCTCCCTACATGTGCTTATTCAGAGGTAAAAACAAACAATTGAAAAAAATACATGTTAGGTGGCTGGTGGTACAATCAGGAAAGAACAATTTAGTAAAATTCTCCACATCAGTCTTTGTCCCATTCAACCATATTATTCAAGCTTAAATACTTCATACAAGCAATACACATGCCCACCTAGTGCTTTTCAAAGTGAACTTCCTTCAAGTCTGGACTCCTACCCAACTGGCTGCCAGGTGGCTGCCTGTGTTTTCACAGTGGGCATTTCAAACCCAGGTAGAAGACAGAACTCAGCTCCACCAGTTCTCGTTACTGCCCCTCTTTCCTGGACTCATTGTTTCAGTGAGGCCCTCAGCCTCTCCTGCTCTCTGGCTTGTGCTCACTGAATGCTCTCCTTGGTGTCTCTTCCTGATGCCCCACCACCAGCCCTTCCTCCTTTAAACCTCAGCAAAATGCTGTTTCTACAGGCTCTGCACATGTGGTCCTGAGTTAGAGTTACTTGTGAATTCAGACTGTGTGGCTTCACAACCAGTTTATTTCTCACAGCTCTGGAAGCTGGGAAGCCCAACATCAAGATGCCAGCAGACTCAGTGACTGGTGAAGGCCCCCTTTCTGGTTCAGAGGCGGTCTTCTCATTGCATCCTCACGTGGTGGAAGGGCTAGGAAGGGCTTCTTTTCTAAGGGCATTAATCCCATTCATGAGAGCTTCACTCTCAGGACGCAATCACTTCTCAAAGGCCCCACTTGCTGACACCTCACACTGGGGGGTTAGATTTCAACATAGAAGTTTGTAGGGGGCACAAGCATTCAGATCATAACATTACCCTTTATTAAATTTCATTTCCTAAAATATAGAGATAGCATCTGACATCATTCATTCTCCCTGATCATTCTGTTTGACAAAGTCATACAATTATTTAAGGATCTTGCCATAGCCAACACCAAATGCTCTTTCAATTTATAGCAGCTAGTTTCTCACAGCTACATGTCAGCTCTGAGATCTGAGGGCACATGATGTACTGGAAGACAGAAAGCCTAAGTGGGGATGCAGGGGGAGCAGTGCAAATGCATAGGCTCCACAGCCACACAGACTTGGGTCCAAATCCTGTACATGCCACTAAAACCTTGTTTCCTTACCATTAGAGAAAGTGTGCAGAAGATCCCAGAGCCATAGCAATGTTAGGGGCACAGAAGACACTTCCCAGGAGTTCTAACAATGCTACTTCTCCATAAACGTATTTGGCTTCAGCTGTAAGCCTCCTCAAACTAGCTATTCTACTTTCTGAGTGAATTTCATTAGCTTTCCTTCTAATTGAAGACAAAATGAGTCTACCAAACAGTTCTAATTAAAAACATTGAGCTTCAAAGGACAAGCAGCAGAAGGAAAATGTCCATTCATACTTCAGAAGGATGTGAACCCTCGTAAACACAGAGCACCTTCCTGAAGGTGCCAGTAAAGGCTCCGTCCTGATGGGGTCCCACCACCACCAAGCCAGACCAGCTGCACAGGCCTGGGGGCTGCGAGCAGGTAGACAGTGGTTCCCCAGCCTGCCGCCCCCTTTCTGGGTACACCTGAGGGCCGAGGCGGGCTCACTCAGGGTGGGAGTTGAATGAGAGCAGATGTATTGTAGGGCTTGGTTTCCAGACCTTTGTGGGAAGGTTCTACCTGATTCAGAGGCTGGCCCGTCCCACCAGCTGCAGCTCGCAGACCACACCTGTGTGCAGTGCTCCTACTGTCCCAGCCGAAGCCACACCCAGCCCGGCAGGTGTCATGAGTTTGGTGTTCCTGATCAACCAACCAGGCATGAACATTGGGATGGAGATGCCCTCCTCCTCACATTGGACATGGCACCATTTTAATGATTAGTTCATCATCTACTAGGCCTTTTGGTCATGGTCCCTCCAAACCAGGCAAATTCAGACCAAACTCACAAAGCTACCTTGGGATAAAGCGCTGAGGAAAGACCCTGCAGTCGGTCTGCTACCCAGCTCACAGGACACCCAGATGGGTTCCAGGTTACAGACAGGGGCATACCTGGTGTTAATGCCAGCTGGGCATGCAGGTAAGGCTAGCTGCTACAAAATCCTGGACATTCACAGACCTTCACCCAGAATGACCTAAGAACACTGAACTGCTTGTCACTAACCACTTGGAGGGCAGTTCTTACCCTCATGACTGCTGGGAGTGTCAGCAGTCTTCCCTACAGTTGCCCTACTGTGAGGTCGACCTCACCTACCCACACTGTTCTTTCTGACAACCCAGCCTCTGGCCCTGGGCACTCTCCACGGGGGTCACAGGGATGGCTGTTGATGGTTTTCACCCACCTGGCATGGCCTTCAATGACACTCATTTTCCCCCTTTGCTGGAAGGGAAATGAGGCATAAAAAGGGCTCAGAACATGACCGAAGTCAATGAGCACAAAGTAGGGCTCTGAGCTGCACTGATGGGCCCAAGCCTGCTGGGCCTCAAATACTATCAACATCTCTACGGACTGACTTTCCCTTCCTACATAAGGACTCACATGTCTGTAATCATCACATTTATTTTTTTTATTTTATTAAGCAATAAGCAAGCAGTAAGAAATGGGTTGGAGAGGACCTAAAATGGTTTTCTTCTGAAATAATTTTAAAAACCAAATAACTGGTATCACTTTAAGCTGCACAAGATAGCAGCTGCACCTGGAGAGGGATTTAATTTTCATGACATGCAAAATTGATTAGGTAGTGAACTCTTCCCTCCCCCTTTCCCTGAACACATTTATAGACTTCAATGGGGGCAAATTCCATCTAATACTATGAAAACCATTTTTCATTTCATAATTTACCCAAATCATACGCATAACTGCAAGAGGAAATAAACAGAAACCTCTCAGCATAAATAAGTCACAATGGATTGTTAATCTTGTAGAGCCAATCCAGCATTAAGGCTAATTTGATCTCAAACATTTTATGGAAACCAGCTGTCAGGCTTTCTTTGGAAAAATCCACAAGGTTTCATAAACCTGAAGGTATAAAACGATGACATGCAGGGCACTGCTCAGCTCTTCATCTGGCGCATTTCTTCATGTGCAGAAAAGCTGTAACACAAACTGTCCTCACTTCCTGCTGCTCTGCACACATGTCACAATAGCTGGCAAGAGGTGGTTTCTGTTTTCCTTGGTGACCTGTGGGAAAAAGCAAGAGGTGGGCTTCAGAGTAGCTTCCCTTTCCTCCAGTGGTCTGACAGGAATATTCTGAGCGAAGAGTCTGGAAGGCCAGGAGAGAGGAGGGAGGCTCTGCGGCTCAGGGAGACCTGCTTGAGAGCACTGAGGCAGGACAGGTGGGTGGGTTCCCACCACCATGGCTGCAAAGTGGCAGTGGGTTCTGATGACTAATGGGCTTATCTATGAAGAGAGCTGGGAACAGAGCCCAGTGATGAGCTCTGGAATGGGTGATGGGAATGCAGATGGGGCCTGGGCCACCCTGGAAAGAAAGGCCAGGATGCAGCCAGGAGAGCCACCTGCCAGGAGCCCCTGAGAGCAGCCGGAATGCTGGCTGACCCCTCTCAGGACTCCGAGATGCTCCCCAAGTCACCCATCTACTCATTCCTCCAGGAACTTCAAAAATCTGTGCTGCAAAGAGCCTCTGACATGAGTCAACTCTGCATTTACAAGATGCAGCTGAGGCCTGGGACAGTGCAGGAATTTTCTGGAGCTCAGAGGCTGGTGGGGATGCAGCCCAGTGTGCATCCTCTGAGACTAATATTGTCATACAAATAAACAAAAGAAACAAAGAGTTTATTCAAGCTTTACCTGATAATCTGTTTTATTTTTCTCTTGCTACCACAGTCCCAATGAGCACAACACAAAAATTCAGACAGTGCTAGGAAGCTGGATGGAAGGCTGTCCCCCAAGGAAAGCCAAGGCCATCTCTTGACCACTGCTTCCTGTTTGGCCCCCATATATGTTCATTTAACACTCACTGATGGGGTGTCCACCAGAAATGGGGCAAGGTGCCAGGGACAGAGAGATAACTCGGGCCTTGGACTCATGGAGCTTGCAGACCACAACACAGGGACAGCAGCTGCGAACAATAGGGACAGCAACAGAAGGTAAAGCGCATGTGAGAGAAAGTCTGGAGGCACATGTGGGAGCTGGGTGGGGCATGGAGGTCAGGAAAGGCTTCTGCAGGCAGTTGGGCCTGGACAGGACCTGGCAGGTGGGCAATGGGAGCAGGGCCCAGACAGAAAAGGACCTGGCAAAGACTCATGGCAAGAGGAAATGAGTGCCTGTGGTATCCCCAGGCTGCGAGCAGGGGGCTCAGTGTCGGCAGACCCTGAGAGGAGGGCTGGTCTGGTCCCATCGCAGAGCTTCACACCCAGGTGTGACAGAGGGCCTGGCACACAGCAGGTGCTAAATGAAGGTCTGATGGGGGACGCATAGTGGACTTCACCACTTCTGGATCCCCAGCATCCACTATCCTTCTCCTAAGAGAGCTTGGACTCTCCTTGAGAGACCACAGCCTAGGAGACTGGCCCTTGGTCAAGGACAAGCTGGGCCCTAGAGATTGACCTGAACTTTGAAGCCTGAAACAAGCGAGCAGGCAGTAGAGTGCTGAGGCTGACACCCTGAAAGCATCCAAGGGCACTGGCCGTGGTCCCTGCTGTGTCACCCAACAGGGCAGCTCGAGCCCCACCAAGAGGAGAACCACCAGCTTTGGCCTTCCACTTGATGAGGAACTGCACAGCCTTGCAAGGCTTTCTGTTGCTGTTTCCCCTTAAGTTAGCCAGAGCCCATGCCTGCTGTCTGCATCCCAGTAGCTCCTGACATGGAATGGAGGAGAGGGGGATGCAGGTGGGCGTGCAGCAGGTGCTCTGGGGGCTTGCGGGGCAGCCCTACGGCTTTATCAACAGAGTGGGGAAAGGACCAGTTAGCACCTCTTCTGCAACCAGATATCACCAGGAATTACACTTGCTCCTGCCTTCAGTGGAGAGCTCACTGCGTGTCTCACGAGGAAGATTCGGAGAAGGGGGCATTTGGGGCCACTTGCTCGCCTGAACATTTCATCACTTCCTTTATAGATATCAGATGAAGGATGGCCTGTTGAGCTGGGAGAGGAAGAGGAGGGAAAGAGAGGGAGAAGAGCCCACGAGAAATCAGGAGACCGGGGTGGGAAGAGGAAACACTGTCCAGATGAAAGGAGTGACTGCGGGGGTGAGTGACCAGAGGCAAGCACAGCCTGTGCCCTCCAGACCCCTGCCTGGACTTCCCCGACACTTATTTCTCCAGCCAGCTGTCAGTCGAGCTGCCTGCATGGACCTGGCGCATGTGACTCCACCAGTTCCGTCCTGGACAGTCCCTGCTACTCAACTGCAAATACAGGCTGGCGTGAGGTCGCACTCAGGTCCCGGAGCAGCAACACGTGCAAGGCTGGGGAAGGGCAGAGCAGGCCTCCTCGGGACCATTACTAGGCTCCATTTATTTTCCTTCTACCCCTGAGCCCTCAGACGGAATGGATGGGGGCATGTGATGGCAAGTGAGGGGTGGTAAGGTGGAAAACCCATGACTGAGACACTGGTCCTGACGAAGGCCATTTAAGTGGTACAGCCAAGGCTTGTGGAGAAGTCAGACTGGACAGGCGTGACTCTTCAAAGATAATAACAAAGAGCCCCAAGAGCCATACAGCCACAGGTCCATATTTCAGGGAAATGCCTCATCAGCTACAGCATCAGGACCACAACTACAAAGCAATCCAGCAGTCAGTACACCGAGCTCCCCAGGCCCCATCCCATCTCATTTCAGTTTCATGCCAGGCATGGTACACAAGACCTGTTGACTGTCCCCACTGCACGCAGGAAGAAGCTTCAGAGCAGGAGATGATTGATGAGCTCAAATACCACATCTATCCCCCAGGCTGCTGGCCGAACTCCTGCCCTGTCCTACCCCTCAGAGAGACCCACGATCCCTCCTCAGGAGGGGCGACAGCAGGGAAAGTGCCAGCCTCCACCAACACACAGACAATGCTCTCCAAGCCATGGCTGGGTATGAAAAGAATAAAAACTGAAACTGGAAGATACATTTTCAGAATGTACTCTCGTAACATGACCAGAATCAAAACTGCATTAATATTTTGCTAACCCCTTTTGATTTCCCAAAGATTATTTCTGAAAATTATCCAGTAAGATTTCTATGTGAAATGCCACTGTGTTCAGGTGGCTCGTTCCTTGTACAGTGAAGCCAAACTCTCTAATGCAAGGACAAGTAAAGCACCATCTGGCAGCCTCAGGGGCTCTGACCTTTATGCAGAAGTCTGGTCTACTAGAATAACAATTCTGTACAAGTTCACCCACGAGGAATTTGGTTGCACGAAGTCCTTCCTGACAGGCTAGCTAGAGGGAACTGGGGGCTGGGTACAGAGAGAGGCAGTGAGGAAGGCTGCAAAAAGGAGCAAGAAATCAACACAAAACCACATATTAACACAGATCAAAAGTTATTACTAGTCTGTTTCATGTTTTGTCTTTATTTCATGGTATTGAACCTAAAAGTAGGATCGCTCATCAATCCAAATCCCCTAACCCTGCTCCTTGAAGTTTAAATTTTTTAAACCAAGAATTATTTTGCCAATGGGGCTTTCAGCAACCCAGTGCCCATGGCAGGGAAGGGACGACATGTCAATGGCCAGTGGCAGCATCACGCTTCACTAGGGAGAAGGAAGGCGCCATAGCTTCTTTGTTCACATCTCCTGCTACTGACTCTGTGTGAGTTACAGAAAAGCTCTCCTGAAATGTAATTCTTTTACTGTTAGTTCAACCTCTCAAAGGGTGGGATTCAGCGGTTTTTGGTTTTTAGTGTATTCACAGAGTCGTGTGATCAGCAGCACTATCTAGTTTGAATATTTTAATCCTTTTCACCCCCCACCCACCCAAGTAACCTCATTCTCACTCACTACACTTGATCCTTCCCCCTAGTCCCTGGCAGCCACTAATCTATTTTCTGTCTCTACATGCCTGTTCTGGACACTTCATATAGATGAAATCATATACTATGGGATCTTTTGTGACAGGCTTCACCTAGCCTAATGTGATGTTAACTCATCCATGTTGTAGCACGTGTCCCTTCTCTATCCCTTTTGTTGCCAAATGATACCCACAACCAAAACTAAGGCCATATAAAGTAAAGGATAGAGAAGGGAACATAAAACTCTGAAGACAAGGGCCTCACAGACCTTTCAGAGACGTCAGTGAGGACATGACTTGCATGGCTCTCAGGTCTCGGCTCCCAGGTCAACTCCTTAGAGACCTTCCCTATGCCCACCTCCCTTTGCCCACCTCCAGCCCTCAACTACTACACTGTACTGGTCTATCTTCTTTGCATTTATCAGTATCTGAAATTACCTAATTGCCTACATTTTTGTTATCTAGACCCCACGAGAATGTCAGCAACATGAAGGCATGGACTTGGTCCGTCTCAAGGATTTGGACTTAGAACAATGCATAGAACAAAGTAGATGTTCAATCTCTATTTACTAAATGAATAAACATATGAATGAAGAAAGGTACAAACAAGTTTCTCCAAATCTGGCTGGTCTAACCCAGTTATTTACTGCTCCAAAAGTGCCCTGGGATACTTTGGTGACAACATAATGTCCCAGCAGAACCAGATAGCCAAGATGCCATTTCAGCCAGTGATGTAAGGGGTTCATTGGTACTCTGCAGCTAGAGCTCACTCTCCACCTGCCAGCCTGGCTTGTTCACGTGGCACTGGTGGGTCAGTGAGCTGCTAAAGTGGGGGGTGGAGAGCAAGGAGTATGAGCAGAGCTCGGCCAAGAGTAAGGCTATCACTATCACTGACACAAACAACTGAGGTGGTGCGGGGGAGACAAGAGCTGACCAAGGACACAGAGACAACGGGGAAGGAAAAAGCAAGTGTTCAGGCCATGTACCAGCAGTCTCACCATGGTTCAGACACTGCCACCAGGTGGTGTGACGGAACTGCTCACCTCACGCACGTGCTCTACTGCAGGGCTTCTCCAACTGCAGGGGCCTCATGACCTCCCAAGAGTGCCAGGCCCAGAAAGCGGCTCGCAACTCTGCTCGGCTTATGAGCTCCCAGGTGCTGTCTGTACTGCTGACCTACAAACCTCACTTTGCCCAGCAAGACGCTCACAGCTGTGCCATCCACGTAGCTTACTGAGCATCTGAAATGTGGCCAGTGTGACTGAGGAACTGAATTTTTTATTTAAATGTCAATGGCCACATTAGGGGCTACTGTACTACACCACAGAGGACATTTCCATCTTCATCAAAAGATCCACTGGACAGTGTTACTCTACAGCATCTAGAAGCTATGCTTCCAACTGTAGCCACAGCCTCTTTTCCCCACACACAGAAGTGGGTCAGTTTAAACAGGAAATAAAATGGCACTTATTTGCCATATCCTAACCCATCCATCACCCTGAGAAGAGATGCGCTCAGCCCAGGAGCACCAGCTGCTCAGGCGGCTCTGATGCTGGAGAAGGCCTGGTATCTGCGGGGGAAGTGGAGGGTTAGACACGGAGGGCTGGTTGTACTCACATTGAACACTTTCACGTCGTTTCTGTGTCTTATTTCTTCCACAAAGGCCAGCGGTTTTCCTTTAGGTATTGGAATCGTGCCAAGGACCACAGTCCCTGGGGTGGCCAGTGTCTGATGAACAGCCTGGATGAAGGGCTGACTGAAGAGCTCCATTTTCCCAATCTCATCGATGACACACACTCTCTGCCCTGGGCCACTGTTGGGACCTGCCTGTGGAGGACAAAGACATCAGTTAGGACACCAAACAGCAAAGGACCCAGGAGGCCCACACTCATTCACCCAACAGGCACACTGGGTGGTGGCTACACTTTGGATGTCAGACTATCTCACAATCCACACAGAACAATGAATCAACAAAGGAATCTGGAGCGGTTCCCTTAGAGGCCAGAAAATTCCATTCCCTGGCCACCATTTTCCTGGCAATGCTTACTCCTTTGAATGGCTCCAGTAATAAGCACTTTGTATTTACATTCACCCAAGAAATAAGCAGGACACAAGTGCCTCAGGTTTAAATGAAATGAGACAGAATGGGAGCCCTTATTAATAATACTTGCCCCTTTTCTTCACCAATTCTGAGGCATATGAGATTCCACGTCTGCTAGGAGGGGTAACGGCTGCAGGCAGACTCCTATGTATTTCATAATCTACACTAAGGGTTGGTGGAAAGAAGTGAAAATTAAAAGGGAAGGAGTCTTGGATAGAAGGAAAAAGAGTGAGCAGAGTTGTCCCTTTAAATCTCAGATTCCCTGTCTAATGATTTTATACCAATGTCCACTCCTTGCTAGAACACCCCACTAAGAACAGGTGTGGCAACTAGCCTCCAAGAGTCCTAACAGTTCTCAGCTCTGGGGATTTGCACCCATGTGTAGACCCCTCCCACAAAGTACCAGGGCTGGTCTGTGATCAGCACAATACAGTAGAGGAGATGGCAATGTCACTTCCGAAACTAGGTAAAAAAGGCTATCTCTACCTTGGTCCAAATCTTGACCAATCCATCTATGTAGCTATCAAACAATCTACCTATCTATCTTGGATCACTGGCTCTTATGGAAGATGGTTGCTATGTTGTGAGGACATGCAGGCAGCTGAAAGCCAGGTGCATGCGCCAAGAAACTGAGGCCTCCTGCCAACAGCCAGAGAGGAACTGAGGCCTCCCAGCAACCATGAGAGTGAGCTTGGAAGCAGATTGTTCCCGGTCAAGCCTCAGATAACTGCAACCTCATGACAGACCTTGAACTTGAACCACCCAGCTAAGCCTTCCTGGATTCTGGGCCCAAACAGACTCCTATGTATTTCATAATCTACACTAAGGGTTGGTGGAAAGAAGTGAAAATTAAAAGGGAAGGAGTCTTGGATAGAAGGAAAAAGAGTGAGCAGAGTTGTCCCTTTAAATCTCAGATTCCCTGTCTAATGATTTTATACCAATGTCCACTCCTTGCTAGAACACCCCACTAAGAACAGGTGTGGCAACTAGCCTCCAAGAGTCCTAACAGTTCTCAGCTCTGGGGATTTGCACCCATGTGTAGACCCCTCCCACAAAGTACCAGGGCTGGTCTGTGATCAGCACAATACAGTAGAGGAGATGGCAATGTCACTTCCGAAACTAGGTAAAAAAGGCTATCTCTACCTTGGTCCAAATCTTGACCAATCCATCTATGTAGCTATCAAACAATCTACCTATCTATCTTGGATCACTGGCTCTTATGGAAGATGGTTGCTATGTTGTGAGGACATGCAGGCAGCTGAAAGCCAGGTGCATGCGCCAAGAAACTGAGGCCTCCTGCCAACAGCCAGAGAGGAACTGAGGCCTCCCAGCAACCATGAGAGTGAGCTTGGAAGCAGATTGTTCCCGGTCAAGCCTCAGATAACTGCAACCTCATGACAGACCTTGAACTTGAACCACCCAGCTAAGCCTTCCTGGATTCTGGGCCCAAAGGAACTGTTTGAGTTAGTAAAAAGATTGTTGTTTTAAGGTGCCAAGCTTTGAGGTAATGTGTTACACAGCAACAGTTAACTAATGCACAGGCCCACTCTAGAAAGCCTTTTCCAGAGTGTGGGTTGTGACGGGGCGTGTGTGGCTAGTGACAGACGGGGCTCAGGGATAGATCCCGAAGCTGCGTGTGGTGCACAGAGGAGTGTGGATTCTATCCAACAGCTGAGAGATTCTAAGCCAAGGAAGGATCACAAGTTGTGTCTGAAAGCCGTGTGGAGTCAAGGAGACGTTAGGTATCTTCTGAAGTGAGACTGTGGAGTCTAAACCCAGGCAGTGAGTGGAGGGAAGCATTAGAGCAGCGGTTTTCAGACTTTCATGTAAAGTAGCACTCTTTTTGTTTTCCTACTTAATAGCATATACATATAACACACTCTTACACTCATTTTATTAACAGAAAGACTAGGAAGAAGACCACTGTTATCATCCAAGAAAGGTCTATAAAATCATTTAAAACATATATATTTATGTCTATTTATTATACTTGAAACTGTGTTTCCAATGCCCTTGATTTTCACCTTGTGCGGTGGGCACCTGTTATCTGCACGCCTGTCTCCCTGAGGCAGGGCCAAGGTCGCGGTCACCTTCCTCTTTCCCATGGTCCAGTCACTTATTCCAGAATTTTTCTTCGAAAATGAATGCCAAATTTGAGAGAAATAAAACAGCTATCGGCCACCTGTTCATTAGCATACAGACAATCCCATAAGAACAAGCTATTCCAACTGACCTGACTCTCATCAAGGAGTATTTGGGTCATTCTGCTGTCTCCAGAGGCTGAAATTGTAGATGTTGTCTGTCTGGAGGCTACCATCTAAAAGCCAAGGGGACCTCTGGTTTGTCATATCAAAACAACAACCAACTCAGAAAAAGGGAAACAACTGATGAAAGAACATGTGTGTGCCTTAGTACATGTGTAATCTGGGGTGACATATGTGGGCAGACAAGTGCGTGTGAGTATGTTAAATACACAGGAGTGGGTATGAACATCACGCAGAGGCTCTATGACCATCCTTCCTGCGATTCTCTGCAACATTCGCCAACAGGATTCCCCTCTACTTATTTAACCTTCTGCACAAAGGTATCTGGACACACATATATGTACTTTCTACTAACTCGAAATGCTCATTTAAAATCTTAGTTTATATAAAGTCCTCATTTTGTCCAGAATTAGGGACTTTCACTACCCAGGAACTATAGGAATCTCAAAAATAAGTCTGGAATTTTTAATGAAAATAGCAGTTATTCAGGCTCAGTGGAGAGATACACCAGATGCTAACCCAGTCGGAAGCCTGTAATACTGTTTTTCTAAATAACAAATGAACATATATTTAAGAGCTTAATAAAAGAAACCACTGACATTCACAATTGTTTTATTTCTATATAAACTCAAGCAACTTGAAACAAAAATAAACCAGTGAGCCAACACTACCCTGTCTGCATTGTTCCAACTTCTCTTCTGAGGCAGTAAAGACACACCCTTATAGCACCAAGACTCAGATGTGAAGCCCATCAGGAGCCAGCCTGCCCCATCCTTCCCCATTCCCAGTGCTGGGAAGTAATTGCAAGCTCCTGGAGTAACTGCCTGAAGGTACGGGATAAGGAGCTCATGCAGAACTGGGGTAAAATCACAGTGATCACCCCATCTGGGGTGTGACCTGCCTCTTTCCCCCACCCCCTGGTGGTGTGACTGCTGCCAGCTACACTGCGGCCTCTGTCATTCACTACACTCCTGTGGCTTCCATTGGGTTGGTTAGGCATTTCACTATCACAAAGAGGGAGAAACACTTCTTTGTGCAAAGCATATTTTAATTCCTCTGTTTTTCTGAGGGAGAGGATATTTCCTTAGGACAGAGTCCTAAAACTGACCAGCAGGGTAAGAGAAGCTATGAATAATTTCATGGTTGCACTCAGCTAGTTTGCTTTCCAGAAAGAGTAAATCAGTTTAGAGTAACAACGCAACATCTTTATACTAGCTATGCCAGAAAACTGAAAATAGTATGGTTTCTTTGGTCCTTTGTTTAATCTTTTCATATACTTTTAAGAATACAAAGAAAATATATACATAAAATAAGCAATTTCATTTAACCAAAATATTGAAATGAGAGTAAGCTAATTAAAGTGGGGTTTGCCTTATTCTGAATTATTAACTTAATAAATATTTCTGGTGGCATTAAGGTTAACTTTTTTTAAAAATCAGACCCAAGACTTCTGAGCTTGCCCAACTGGAACAACAAATATCAAAATTCATGGGAGAGAACAGGGAACTTCTGCCAGAAGTTAGGTAGCAGAACTGCAGCCCTTCCCCACCGACAGCCACAAGTTCTGGGGAAGCTAGAAAGGCCACTGATGAGCAGCAGCCATGACTGAGCCAGCCCACAATTCTTCAACCCTCATAAGTTATTAGCTGAGAATGCAGGGCTCCAGTTAGACGTTTATGTGTGTTATTCTAGGCCTAAAGTTTCCAAATCCCTTAGCAGTCTGGTGGCATGTCAACTATGTCCCTGAGCAGTAAAATCAGAGCAGGCAGCCAGAACAGGATGTCTAGACTGCCCGACATGCCCTGCAGTTCAGCCCTCCCCACTGAGGCACGCTCTGGGCACAGGCTGCCCCCACAGACATCCGAGAGGCCCGGCCCCATGGCCCCGCAGACTAATTCTGGGCCCCTTTTGGGTGTCCCAACAGACCTCTTGGGGGTCTCACCCCCATGAGCACCTGATCACAGAGCACAAGACCTGTGCCCTTGGCATTTCCAAGCTGCAAGAACTATGCTGAGGCTGAAGCAGCATCTACTGGCTGACAGGCAGCCCAATGGGTAGAGAACCCAGGACTCCTCATGATCCCAGTGCCTCAGGGCTGAACAAGACATCCGGGCTCACGGGTCTCCACAACAGGTTTACCACTCACTCTGGCCCCAGAGTTTCTGGCCAATGCAGACTGTTGATGTGAGGCTCCTCCTAAGGTATTGTCACCCATTGCTTCGCTCACCTTCTCAAGAAAAATAATGAGAACTATCTCAATGTTTTGCACCTCCCAGCAACTAGGGACTAACACACTTGACAAGCATCATCACATCATCACATTTGGTCTTAGTAACTTCATGCACCAAGGATCAGCACCTCTGCTTCACAGATGAGGAAGGAGGAGGGTCACACACAGCCACTGAGCTCCCAAGTGACAGAGCTGGGAGCGAAACCCAATCTCCTGATGCTGAAGCTC